AACATGGTTGTTCTTCTGTCTTCTATTTCTATGCTGAAAGAAACTGTCAATGAGTCTTTGGTTGATCAGTATTGCATGTCTATATCTGTTTTCATAAGAAGCCACTTTGAAGATATCAATATATAATACAACAACCATTGTTAATTCCCTACCACTTTGTTTGTAACTCCATATTGTCTGTACTGTTTTTTTGCTATGTTGTAAATTGTTGTCTATGTTTTCCTCCTTTTATTTTTAAAATGAAAAAAAAATGCTTTAAGTGTGTCTTAAGAGTCCTGTAATCTGCAACTGTTCATTTTGGTTTTTCTCATCATCATCACAATTGGCAATTATCTTATGTATCTGCTTATTTGCCTGCTGTCTGTCTCGTCTACTAAATAGTTTTGGATCACCACTATGTCCCTAGAGCCTTGTATTGTGTCTGTAAGTAGACATGCTGAATGAATAATAAGATATTTTGTTTTTTAAATTCCCTGAAATTCCATAAATGTGACTGGAGAGCTTTAAGATGACAGTCTAATAGTACTAACTATGAACTCGATCAGTCAAAATCGACCCAGTACTAGAAACTCTCCAATAAACTGGGATGGGTCACAGCGGGGACTTCTGACAAGGAGCACTGCTGGCTGTGACATGGAACTACACACATACACACCTACACCTTCACAGACGCCCACTTGTGACCAATCAAATCTTTATCCACTGCTTTGGGAACCAGTGTGATCTGGTTGCTCTCCCTAGACTCACTTCTCTGAGCGCTGGGCACAGCTCCCTCTGGAGAATGCTGAGCATCTCCTCTACCCATCCTGGCTTCCAGGACTCTGCGGGGCTCAGTGGAAACCCTCACTTGTATTTACAGGGTCCAGTCCTCAGCAGTTTGCTTCTGTGACGAAGGCTATGCTTTCTAGTACCCAAGCCTGTTAACCATTCTCTTGACTGGACTTGAAGCTTTGAGGGTTAACATCTTGTTTCTACCACTTCTGTCATCCCCACAGTGATTGCCAAATGAAAAGCAAATAAACCATTCCTGGGGAATATAAAGGATACACTCTACGTACAATTCACTCAACATGATATCTGTCATGATGCTGCCCATCTCCTGTCTTGATATTTAACTTTTACCTATTTCAATGTCTTCTTTCCCCAGCTAAACAGTAAAAGTCTCACACTCATATAATTTTACTATTCTTTTCTGTAGCACACAATGAATAAATTCCTAAGTGACTTTATAAGAAAGTATAGTCGTAAGATGAAAATTAATGGTGGAACTTGTTGTTTGCCCACATAACATCCATATTCTCTCTTCCTAACAGTAGTCAGATCTTCAGTTAGGTATGGATTCATTCTTCCTGTGGCTCACATGCTTCATTACACCCCAGCTCCAGGGTGAGCCCTATTTGTATAAATCAATCCAGGTTACTACCTCTCCTTTTTCATTAAGACTAATTCAAGGAATCCAGGACTAAGCCAATCACAAGCAGCATCCCCTGACCACTAGAAATGGTTCTGAAATGGTGCAATCACTAAAAAACTCTTCTAATAGTCCCACTATCTTCCTGTCCTCTTAAAACAGGTACACACAAAGTCTAGAAAAGATGGGGTCCATAAAATTCCTGACAACCAATCTACTGTCCTGTCAGCGTTAAAATGAAGTGGGCCCTTCAGAAAGGCATAACAGAAAGAAGGAAAGAAATGGCATTCCAGATCATTTTTTTAACTGTACATAAATCACAGACTGAAGTCCAGCCTAACCCAATCTCCTTCTGTAAAGTTTCCAGCTCTGGGAACCACTAGCAAGGTGAGTGAATGAGCCCTTATGAGTAACCTTAACCAAACATGCACGTAGGTAGCACTGACTCAGTGCCCTGGCATTAGGCTATGTAGTGGGGCATAGGTATCAGTACAGCTCAAATCCTTCCCTTGGGCAAGTCACTGAGAAGATAAAAGGGCAATGATTTCAAGAAAAGATGGTGAACAGACTGCTGGGGGAGGGCCTTAAAACAGCAGGAGGCAGTGGGAGTAGAGAGAACCTCTTGAAGGAAGAGATTAAAAATTCAAAGTTTGTATTATAGAATCAGGATGGTTTGAAAGTCTCTTATTTTCACCACAGATACATTCTAGTCCCCATTTTAGAGACTCTTATTGTTAAAAGAAACTAAAAAAAGATCCAGAGTTCCTTTTCCTCTCTGATCTCTAGTCTACCAACAGGGCACCACACTCTGATCAAGAAAGCCTTTCTCCTTACCCTAATCAAAGGTCAAGGTTCATGTTGACTAAAACTACTACCATCACCTGAATCAACACAGGTAAATGCTTGCCATATCTGCATTTTTTTTTTTTTTTTTGTCTTTTTTGAGACAGGGTCTCACTATGCAGTTCAGGCTGGCGTTGAGCTCACTTTCCTGCCTCAGCCTCTCAAGTGCTGGGATTACAGGCATGTGCCACCACACCCAGCCATATCTGCGTTTTATTTCTTCTGTCCTCTGTGGAAAATGTAGTGAGCCCTGACTAACACAGGTATCAGTCTCATTAACTCTCTATCTAACCATTCCATTATTTACTTTTAAATCACAGAAGTAG